GGCTGAGAGGTGGCGGCGGCTGGGTGGGAGGCTGGTCCCGACCCCCAGGACCGTTCCCGTGCACAGACCCGGTTGTTGGAGTACATTGCAAACGAGAGAGACCCAAAATTGGGGATGGGAATCCGAGGAGGGAGAGGAGAGCAAAGGGGGGGTGGGGTGTGTGCGATCACCCTTTGGAGGCGAAGGATGAACTTTATCTGTTGAATCATACTTGCAGGAAAGTGCTGGGAGCGGATACCACGTGAATGAAAAGTCCTCAAAATACAGAGAGAACAAAATGGGCTCACCCGCTACCTGGGAAAGCGCAAGGTTTAAGCGGGGAGCCTTCAAATTACCTGTACAAAAAAGGCCTGGAAGCACAGAGTGTGTCTTTATACACAGCTGTAAAGTATCAGGCATTATTTACAGTACTGAATAAATGTAAAAACAACAATAACCAGCGCTGAATTAATCTCTCATGTAAATTCATTCAAGCAAATGGAACCACTCTAGGAACAGATTTAGTTAACTAATATGATTAAGAGAATAACAATCAGCTGCAGTCACAGCGGTTCTCAGCCGGGGTGCTTCGTGGGAACGCGGCACGATCGCCCATTTCACAGGTGGGGAAATCAAGGCACACGCCATTACATTTCCTAAATTCATGTAATAACCCCCCAAAAATCTTTGAGCTTGACATGGTTTCACCCACTGCCAAAAAAATAATTCGAATCCAACTGGATGTAGGAATATTTTAAGACAGATTTGAAATATCCCACTTTTCACTGGCATTTGGCTAAATCTGGAAAACCTGAGCTCTCTTTTCAGGGTACAACACAGAAGTTCATCGTTTCATTCTAGTGGCCACTGATCTGGATCACAATTCATCTTCGATGTACCAGTCGCTGTTCAGCAAAACTATTTCTGTACGCTCTTGTGGAATAACAGTTTCCATAAGAAGTGACGTATTGAGCTGTTTTATAGACTTCCCACAGCTTCTGTCACTAAACACAGAGCCAACAGATAATACATGGGGTATTTCACTTCTCTCTTTTATGCTCCCCAGCTATGTAGCAACACTACGCAGTCACTCCAGTACCATCGCAGGAGGTGTTGAGTTTAGTAAATACCATGTACAACGTTTGGCTCAGGCGTGCTGCAGTGGCAGTGACGGTGCTCTGCCAGGGGTCACTGGCCGCACAACAAGCCCCTAACATGGCTACGTACCTAGAAGAAAACTTCCCTGCCTCTACCTTGTACTCTTAACAGATCCCAGCAAGGCTACCTTAAAGGCTAAAACCAAAATGACCAGAAAAAATTGCAGAGTTGCAGCACGAATATACATATTTTTAATGGCTGAAGTACCACCTATTTAAATAAATGTCAAAAAAAAAAAAAATCAACCCACCAAACCGTGGATTTTACTTTGTTTGCAAAGCAAATCCAAAGTAAAACATATTTGCCCAAGAAGGGACACACTGCTTTTTGTAATTAAAATGGTGACATTTTGCATAGCTCGAAAACTATATCTGTTTTAAGGACTTTTTGACTAGGCTAGAATTCACTGTTTCAAAAAGTTAAACATGGCAATAATGTTAGTATTTTTTCATTTTTGCTGGGGTGGGGGCAAAGGAAGAGGTTGCTTTAAAATTAAAAAAAAAAAAAAGACAAAGTCAGAGTACTGAAAGTGAATGGGCAGTCGGATTTGCTTTCATGACTGGGAACCCCAGATACTCCCCCCACCCCCCATGTAAGAGCTTCTGTGTATGGGTCTAGTGCAAAGCAAAAATATGCAGCGATATTTTAATAATTCCCATTGATTAACTGGCAAATTATCGCACACCTACAGCCCACCGGCAAGAACCGAGTCCCAGGGTAGGAACCTGCTAATTACAGGCTCCGGCAGCACTTCCAGTTGCCTGTTATCATCTAGACCAGCATGATGCGCAGAACAGTAAAACAGAAGGCAGAATCAAAGGGAAATAAAGTTACAGGGATCCTGACAGTGTCATCTCGATTCCCACTTGGATCTGCCGCCTTTAAAGTTTTGTGTGCTCTCTGGGAGCATGGGTTAGGGGCCGTGCAGCCATCCCCGCTGCCAGGGGCTGCTCCAAACCCCAGCGCCACTCCAAACCCCAGCGCCACTGGCATCAAGCTGCTACCCAAAGCGGCTCTGGGGTCAACAGCAAAGATCTGGCCCAAGATTTAGGACAATCAATACATTCCTTAATCTGGAAAATTAGTTTAATGCGAGCAGAGGAAAAAAGAGCTGAAGGAAAACAAGAAGCAGCAACTAGTTAGTCTTTCCAAATCTGACAGAGAGTGTATTTATGTGCCTGCATATACACTGCTACAAATAGATGAGAAAACAGTGTGAGCAGAGTTGCATTTACATGGGTGCATACACATGTGAATCCTGCCATGTCTCAAAGCGTGGAGCCTTACCCCCTGCTCAGGGCCCAGAAAGGGAGGGCTGTGGCACCACCAGGGTGACCCCAGTCCTCAAACCTCCGCACCACCTGGGCTCACCTGGCTCCCCGTGTGGGTGCTGCACCCCAGCATGAAAGGAGGCAGCATGGCAGAGCGGAGAGGGACCAGGACACAAGCCCGCAGTCCCCACCGAGGGAGGGGAGCTGGGTGAGAGAAGGGTGCCGTCAGACCCCACCTGCGGAGGCAGAGCCGTGTTTCGTGTCCCATCTGGCCAGGCACTAACCACACAAGCCCCTGACGCCCCAAGGAGCCTCAAGACATGGTGTGCTGAGCTGGCTGATGTCTGGGTGCCGGATTGCCCTCTCCTGGGCAGAAACAGAAGGACCCACTTAAGTCAAGGACTCCACTCCAGAGGACAATTTCCCTTCGTTTCAGGGGGAAGCGTGGATTTGGTGGACCAGAAGGGTGCAGGTCCTCTTCCTCTGTGCCCACCAGTATGAAATCTGCAGCGCCTACGAGTAGCTGCCACTCACTACGATAGAAGGACCAAAAGCCAACAGCAGAAACTTCCTCAGGGGCACGAGCAGGGAGCGAGAAGGGGTGAACCAGAGCGGTTTGTCCATCGGCCTCTGCCATTCATGCTGTCACACGTGGTCGGGCGCTGCCTTCTGCCTGTGACTGCCACTGGAGCCCCTGGCACAGGGCTCCCGGCGCAGCCTGCACGGCGAGGGCACCCACTGCCACGCCAGGCCACGCCATGCCAGGCCACCCAGCAGCATCGACAGCCCCCAGCACGGCGCTGCCAAAAGCCCCACGCGCAGCCGAGGCGCGGTCCTCGCCTTGCCAAGCTGGCAATCGAAGCAGCTCTGAAGGCTGCACTATTTTTAATAACCACTTAGTAATAATAATAATGCAGAAAAGAGATATGGCTGTAAATAGGTGTAATTGCTGTATTTATCCCTGGTATGCGTTGAATGTTCAGTCTCTGTCAGTAATCAGGCTTATAAGGATACATTTAAGGTGGTTTGTAGCTATTGCAAAGACAGGGAGAGAGACTGATCTTTGTTAAAGATACACAGCAGATGAAGAGCTAAGGACTGGAGTACTTGAAGTGAGTTTTCGTGAGAATGCCCAAGTAAACATGAATTTCTTGAAAAAAATAACAAAACGACCTTTTCAAAGTGGCCTTTGCTTATACAAAAGCCAGAAAGGATTGACGACTTTTGATGGAGAGACTGTATGTAAAAGAACAAAACTGTTTGCCTACAGATGGTCATGAGTGACTAAATGAAATTTGCTTGTCAAAAGTTGGGATGCCCAGTGAAGAACCCCATCATCTGTAATACATGCTCAGCTGCTGAGCTCAAACACAGGATTCTGACAGGTTTCAGAACCGAATACTGCCATTAATTTCACCAGTTATAGAATAGAGCGTACCAGATGCTTGCAATTTATAAGAATTCTAGAAGCTGTAATTTGTTTGCATTAAATATTAATACATTGAAATAAAAAACATATTCCGGAAAACACTGTCCTTTCACAGACAATTTTGTGGACAGGAAACTAAATAAATCTGTTTAATCCATTGTTAAAAATATGTGCTGGTCTCAGTATACGCTTCCAGGCTTTTTCCATGTAGACTACTTTTTTTTTTTTTATTTTGATAATTGTCCTTTTCTGTTATTAACAGATGACATGATTATTTTTATCAGAAAGCTTTTTAAAAAATCCGTAAGTGGGGCCCACCAAAACTACTGTGTTTCAGAGCTTACAGTGCAGCAAGAAGGGTTCA